GTAATTTTGGAGTACAATTGTGGATTTTGTCATATAAATTATTTGAACACAGGAATCTATACCTCGCATGGTTTATATGGAAGTACCAACAGATATTGAACCCCTGACAGCGATTTTGACTGCCATCTCAAGGGAAGAAGGGGTCGCGGTTCACTGACATTCACTAACGCAATCACGTTGACCTAAAAAAATTTAGATAAAATTACCATTTTTCAGCCAAATGAATATACTATACCGGTAAATCGCACGAAAATCAAATTGAACACGTCTGAGGTCTGAAATCCATTCCTTTGCGCGCAATCTGCGTAGTTTTTAACACGCTTTTTCAAGTTTCTCGCGTCTCATGGCAGTTTTTCGCAGTCCGCCGACAAGGTTCGCACAGGCGGAGGAGTAAAAAACAAAACTAGCCTGAGTAAACAAACTATCTCATTAGCTTTTTCTTTCGTATGATTTTAATCGTTTTTAAACATTTGTTTCCTTTTATTTTCTTTATTTTGCTAAAACAAAAGCTTTCAATCCATTGAAATCCCACGCAAAGGGATTTATAACGGTTCTCGAGATCGTTTGTATTTCAGTATGATCTCTCTAATGGGAAACCCTGACTCCCGGGCGCCAAGAAAAGCTGACCTCATACGCCATAAATTTGAAAATGCGTGTTACAATTTACGCAGATTACGCGCAGAGCAGTAGATTTCATACTTTTTTGACGCGTCCAACGTCATTTTCGAGCGAATTTACCCTTCGAATATGCACTCAGTTTCATGTATCTCCTGTGCGCAATATTCTTATGAGACACCTGCTTTTCGTTCGGGTTCTTTTCCTTCGTTCATTTGATTTCAAAACATAATCCGTACTTAAGACAAGCCATTAGCGGTTCAATGTGCGCTGCGGATATACGATCCGTTAAGTAAAATTCTTAAGTAATGAAAATGTGTCTAAAGTTAAAAATTTCGATACCATTTGTATTCACATTGCTCACTTGCTATTTTTCTCTCTCTCTCTTTTCAGAGGATCTTGTAGACGCAATGACCCAGGGTCTGTGCCTTATCATCTTCGTCTCGTGCGTTTTGATGCCGGTGTATTGTTGGAACGAAGTTGGTATACAACTTTGCCCCCTGTTGGATTATGCTGCACCCTGCTACAAGGTCAATTCGGCCGGAAAAGGAAAATGTAGAGATCTGACTAAAGACGGTGGTATGGAGATGGGAGGATTAGCGTCATCTGCCACCATGGATGGCGAAAAGCTGTGCTTTATGTTTTATAGCAACACTCAATGCAGCTCCCCAGACAAACTGAAGTTCGATGATGCGATGGCTAAGAGGTGCGGGAGGGATTTATCAACATGTCCTACTAAATTCGCCAAGAGAATTTGGTCTATCAAACAGTGCTGATCGCACACTTAATCAACCGTGTAAGATTTCGTGGGACTACCCAAATGGTTTAAATTCATGCCAGCTGAGAAAATTTCTGACAGACTTGAATTTAAAAAAAATTGTCTAACTGCATTATATTCACAAATATTTAGTTAAAGAATAACATCAAATTGTCAAGTTAAAATTAGAGCCGATTTCAATCAGTCAAATAGAATACATATCCAATGATAGTTTCAACAATTATACTTGCTTTCAGCACAATACATGTGCGAAAAACTTTTACACGATCAACTTTTCCGTCTACATCAAGAGTTATTTTGTGTGGAATGACTGTATTCGTGGGTTCATTTTCGTTTTTTCCCCCGTTCAAAATGCAAAGGAGGGAGTCTAGAATTAATGAAATCGGTTTTCGGATGAGAACTAATTACAAATCGACGGTGAAACTACCAAACCACGTATCTCGGTTTGCGACGTCGCAGACTTCCTGTCATGCTTTATTTTTTAAATGAAAAACTACTTAACGTCCAGTCTCGAAAATTTCTGTGATTTTCCCTCTTCGTGCGGAGAAAATTCTGTGAAAATTTCGCGGAATAATATTGATTTGGTCTATTTCACAAAAATAAAATGTGAGCGTAGATTTTTAAACACCGCAAACGAGATACGTGGTTTGGTAGTTTCACCGTCGAAATACTCCCAATAATTGTTGAATTCTCCTCATTACACTAGTCTTGAACTCACCCGCGCGGCTATTTGTGGATCGGTGGGGGGGGGGGGCAATAATTCGTTCATTCAAACTTTGACCTAATGAAGCTTCATAAGATAGGGGTTTTTCCATGTGTTTTATAGTTTCTGCAATTACTTCGGAGGTATTAGCTTTTATATAGAAAAAAGGAATCAATAAATATTCTTTTCCGCTATACAAGTTTTTCTTTGTCTATTAAATGTTTATTAGCCAATTTTCAAGTCCTCATAACCTATACAATCTCCACATCTCATACTGTTATTCCTCACAACTACGCTCATATTACTTACCTAGCACATTGCAAGTTATGTATTAGCGTCAATTTTTGGACCAGTGTGGTGGGCCCTACATCTTGGAGAGAATATTACATTTTTCCCAACTTTTTGATAATGTTTAAATTTAAAAACGACAATTTATAATTAAATAAAAAATGAAAGAATTGAAAAAATATAAAAATAGACAGATTTTATCGTTTTTTGCGGCTTTTCAATTTCTGCGCGCCGTTTCACTCAACCGTTTTTCCAACGGTTTTTCACACTTTCACACGGTTCTTCCATAAAAAGTTCGAAATTTGCTCTTAGTTTGAACGTAAAAAATTTTACGAAATTTTTATGGAATGAACCTTTGGCGAATATAACGTGACCTTTATTGAAGGATTTCAATACTTTTTTAAGGCATAGCTTCTCTCATTATGTTCAATTCTGCGTCACAATATTATACGCAAATGTAATTGATGAGATGAAATAACCCTTCAATATTGTGATGCTAAACTGCTACTTATACGTACAAAATTAAAATAAATACAATGTCCAAGGAGAACTGATGAGTTTGTATGCGGTGGTCATATGGGGAAGATAAATTTAAAAAAATGCCAAATAATAAATCCTTGTGGAGGTAAGAAAAATGAACAGTATCCGGAACAATAGAAATAGCGAGGGGAATGGAAATAATTTTGAATGCTATGGCTAATCATAACTCCCACGCATAAAGGAGGAAATGCTATTGCGGTAACTACGATTCAGCCTTTCGATTTATAGCCCCGCCTTTGCTTCACCACAGAAAGTACGCCTACCTTTAGTCATGAATGGAAAAGAGGGCTGGACTTGTTCGAGGACCGTGCATACGGATCGCCTCATTCGTGCGCTGACGGTATGATTCTCCTTCAGAAACTAGCGCCGCAACAAGCCATACTCTCGATCCATCTCTCATGAGCATGGGTTTTTTACAGTCTTTCATCCCTGATATTTTATACTTCGAATCAATGTATTAATAAAGCTAGTGGTTTTTTCAGCCGTCTATTACACTCGGATTATCTTCAGCTCTTCAACCATTCTTGAGAAACGTACAGATGGTCAAATATCGTGTTAAATGCGCCTCATGTTAACTCAAATCGAGATAGTTAGTTAGGTATTTTTTACCTTATTATTTTTTAATAACCATATGCGATTGACCGATTGCTGAGTTTATAATTGCAGTGTGACCCTCGTATTTTTTAATCGAAAGTTTCTTTTGCTAGATAGTGCCGATATGGTTTAGATTACGAAAGTAAATTTTGGCAAACGCGTGATTTTGATCCGGCCAGAAATGGGTGAGTGTTTGAAATATTTTAAATATTTTTTATCTTGAGGACTTCACTTCTTTGGCGCCTTTCCCCCTCTTTTGATGCTCAAATCGTCTGCTCCACAATATAAAGAATAAATAATCATATGCACAGAAATAAATCGAATGCATCTTGGAGAAGTTAAACAATTTCCCCACCAGTTTTTTGTTTTCGATAGGAGAAATACTTGTGCCGAAGGAGCGCCATAGTATGCTGAGTACAATTCTAGTTGAGAAATTGAAAGTTTACGTGTCGTAATAACAAATGTTTGATTTACATAGTAGAAATATTTCATCGAGACAAGTCGTTTATTAATATTACCCATTATTTTTAGTTTTCATTCATTTCGAATGTCATTGAATCCGATTCTCTCATTGTTTATTCATCACGGCTGTCTGGTGAGTGGGCCGTATGCTTTTTGAAATCGATGATTTCACAAGTAAACAATGAGAATATTCGATTGAATTGTGCGGAATTCCAAAACCACACACCTCAATTGCAATAAATTAATTATTTTTTGCATGCTTAACTTTTTGGGGGGAATAAAACTACATCATAGTTTTAAAGTTTTATTGAATGAGTATGGAGTGCTAAAAAGGAATCAAAAAAAGTTCAAGCTATTTCGCTCATTTGTGTCTCTTCTGCAAAATAAAATATACGTGAAAAATGTAAAACTGTTGCAAATGGGATACGTGGATATGGGTCTCAGCCATCGAATTTTGTTTTGAGGAGTAATTCCTCTTTGCTTTGTTATGACCAATTAGAACTGAAGTTTTAAAGCCATGGTTCAGAGTGACCGTCGATACTTTGATCCAATCAGAATCCTCGATCTAATCAGAAAATTCAGAGCCAACTTTCATAAAGGGTATCAAGTAAATCAGTTCCCTAATTCCTCAGTCCTTCTGAATTTAAAAAAAAAAAAAAAAAAAAAAATCAGTGCTCAAACTTTTACATTTTGATGATCGTTAGTATGCACACAAATCGTCGCTCCTAGGACGTAAGAACGTATCTCGATGTCCGTATGAGCCCCAAAACGCATGAATTTCTATGTAAAACAGGGTTCACATGGAAATTGAGACACGCTGTTACGCTGTGAGGGGCGACGAAATATATATAAAAACTTGTTAAAGCACTGTGAGTTTTCACTTCCAACTTTCATGATGCTTGTAATATAGTTTAGACGCGTCGCATGTTTTCCTAAATGGGGACACTTCTTATTTCGTTTTAATGTAGATCGTATTTTTATTTCGGAATGAACTCCACGCTCCGCAATTTTCAGGCAGAAACTTACCTGTCCCCGTTGCTTGTTTGGTATGTGGAGATAAATCCTTCGGGAAACATTACGGTGTGTACTGCTGTGATGGATGTTCTTGCTTTTTCAAGAGGAGCATTCGACGAAATATGTCCTACTCTTGCATAGGTAATTGATTTTGAAAATTAGTTTCCAATATTTTTTGCATAGGTTTGTTCAAAAATAGTCGCCGATCGAAGTTTTGTTTTTTTTTTACTCAATCGGGGGCCAATTATTTTGAGTTTGTAGTTGATAAACACCTCCGAATGTTACTCAATTTCATTATTCTTTACTCTATTTTTGGTAATTTTTCACTCCATATGAGTTATTGTCAAAATTAAAATTTAACTGAGGGGACTCTTGCGAAGGGGCTTTTATCATTTCGACAGCCTCCATCAAATGGCACGCCATGGGGAAGAGAATAAGCAAAGACGAGTTCTACTTGAAACCAAAGGGTCCCTCTCACCGATTCGGAATGGTGACTCGGTGGCGTTAACATTTTTCAGTTAAGTAATTGGACATATTTCTATCAAACAGAACTATGTGCATTATGACGTGAGCCCTGTTATGCACATATTCTCAAAAGTCTCAGGGCTCATGTCTTAATGCACATAGTTCCGTTTGGCAGAAATACGTCCAATTCAGTCTCATTATTAATTTTATTGAAAGTATGAATGGTTGGTCAGTTGGTAAATACATTAATTGAAATGTGGTCTGAAGCAGAAAAGCAAACGTGGTAAATTAGGTTGGGAGGTTGGGTTAAAGATAATAACACTGTAAAACAGATAATTTATTATTAGTTAGAGTTTTAAAATTCAGTTGATTTACACAGAGACCGTAGTTTCAGTATATTTTGAAATAAATAATAATAATCAAAGATTGAATATACATTTTACTATGTTATATCATAGAAAGTTTCGGCTTCCTCAAAGCTTCGCCCCTTAAGTGCCCCATCAGCGGGCCGATTATTGAAACTGATAGACAAAGCTATAGACAAAGACGACTAAAGGGATTTGGAGAGATCCTATTGGTAGAAGCGGGTGGTGGCAATGGACATAGGAAGTAGGTAATGGACTAACTAACGGCAACCCACGAGAGACCCGATAGTTAGTCCATCATTTGCCCCCTTAGTCTATGAGAGCCACCGATTGCAACCAATAAGATCGTCCTATACTCCTTGTGTCTTCTTTGTCTATAGCTTTGTCTATAAATTTCAATAATCGGCCCGCTGGTGCGCGTTTTGGTTCGATATGGGCCGTAATTTTTTGGTCCTCTCTTTAAAGTTCTTTCGATGTGAGAGAAAAATACGAGCATAGTGTGCTTATTTTTGGGATTTTTTACAGCTGGAAATGGAGAGTGCATCATCGACAAAACGAAGCGGAATTGGTGTCCTTACTGTCGACTGAAGAAATGTTTGGAGGTTAATATGATTACAACAGGTGAGTCGCTCACGTCAACTTTAGTTTACACCCTCGCATTTATCGGAGACAAAGCTTATTTAAAAAATCGAAATTAAATAAAGTTATTAATGTAAAAAAAGAAAAAATCACCAAACCATAAGAAAGGTAATAATAGCAGATAATTTTTAAGTCTAAAACACGTTTCAAGAGATGAACAAGTTCCAATTCCTATTCCTCGAACTCGAACCTCCTCGAACCCTCCAAGAACTATTCCTCGATTCGCCAATAATACAAACATCAATCGTTATTTAGAGCAGATAGAATACAAAAGCACAGGTGTCCTTTTTCACGAAGCTGAGATGATGGCTCCATTAAATCGTACTTTTTAAACCACTTGAAGACGGAAAAAATTGGCAAAATTCAGTGCCAGGACTACTCACCTACAGTTTTTTCGCCTAGAAGACTATTCACTCAAGAATTTTTTACTCACGGATATTCACCAGAAACCCTTTTAACCATACGTGTTTTTTATTTTTACCTGAGTGCATTTCATCAATTGCAACTTGCAAAAGTTAAAAGTAAGCACAGCTCTCGCGGTTTCGTCTAAATAACTGGAGACTGGAAATAGAATGCATGTTTGCCTTCAACTCAACCTTACTCAAGACTTCCATAGGTAGTATAAAATACATATGGGTTAAAATCCCTCTTTTGCAAAAAGTCATGTATACCAAAGTGCATGAGGGTCTAAATGCTGTGGGTCAAGAGTTGTGGGTGAAAAGGTCTGCATGGCTGAATTATACCGTGGGTGAAACCCTAGCTGACTGGTCCCGGAATACATGAGGGAGATGTTCTCATCCTTGTGGGGAAAATGTTCAAATAACCGGATAAACCCAAAAAACAGATTTACTCATAAGTTATCATTTTCAGAAGTTACAATGTGTCTCTTTCCTTAGTGACAGTTCCGTCCTAAAGAACTCGTAAGTTATACACCATGAAAATGTAGATTAAGAGGGCATAAGTCCAAATGGCATATGAAGTGGTGAGGAAAAGCCAGGGTAAACAAACCACAAAATCCATTTACTCGTGGAAAATCCACGGGATATAATATCAGCTTTTAATGTTAAAATTCACAGCTAATCAGGTTGGTTCTAAATTGAAATTTCACCTTTAGCTAAAAAAAAAAATTAGCATGCCAATAAAGACAAAACGCAGGATTCGCCGAAGATGCGTTTTAATTTTGATTGATTATGCATTTATAGAAGCTCTCCTCCTTCATAACATACAATATTGACGTGAAAAATTCCCAAATGCTACATTTTAAATGTCAGGTCAATCTTAAAATGTTGTGAGAGTATAATAATATCAAAGTAATTAATTAAGTCAATTGATTTATTGCGCAGAGAACTTTGAATTTGATCATACTATACAATGCAATATGCGGGTGCACAGCTTTCCCCCAAAAAGAGTTATAATTTTTGGCAGCTCCGTGAAAGTTGAGAAAAGTTACCTCATGCACTTTTCATCCTTTATGCTTCATTTGTTTATAAATTCTAATGATGTTTATCTGTCAAATTTAATAAATTGGCAACATCTTACTGACAAAAATTTTCGTTAATTTGAAGCTGTGCAAGTTGAACGAGGTCCTCGCAAAAGAAGTAAGAGGTCAAGCATGGAAACCACGAGATCTTCCCGCGGATTGAGTAAAGCGTCATTTTGCGGTAATGGAAAATCACTTCACGCTTATGAAAACGGGCATGCTGCCATTCGGTCAGACTGTCAAGTTCCTGGTTCATGCGTATCGTTTCCACTTGTATCCACACAAGTTCCTGTCAACTATTGCCTCACAGGTAAGAGCCTGCTGTTTCTACTCTTCGTATTCACCGTGGAAATGAAAACAATGAGCACGAATGAATTAGAGAGATCCAAAAACTGAAGGATATGGGTGGATTTCAGCTAATGGGAGAAAATGGTTCTGAAAAAAAGTTGAAAAGTGATTTGGCCATATCCAGCTAAAGACTACTTTTCTGTTCTCTTCGAGCTTCTCGTCTCGAATTAAATTGAATAACAAGTTGGATTTTGCAATCGCTAGCGATAGCAATATTCGTCATGGGAACGTTAGCTTCTGGGATATGAAAATGTTAAGGTACAGTTCGTTTGTAGTATCTTCTGAATTGAAGGGGCTATGTAATTTTGTGTTGACATCTCTTTTTTAACATTTTTAATTATTTTCTTTGCATACAAGAAAGCTGTTATGTACCAATTATTTATTTTCGTTGAATTATATATGGTTTTCGGAAGTTAACGCATTTAAGTTTCAGGTTCGCTTTTTCGGCGTAAAGTATACGTAAGGTGTCCCAAAAGCACCGGGACTTGTTCTGTAACTTCGAAAGTAAGATAGATACAGACATGATCTTGATTTCATTTTAAAGATCAACTCAATACCTATCGATTAAAACCAAGATCAGCTCAATCGGATAAAAATTGACCGAGTTATGGCAATTTGAAATCAGCGAGGAAAGTTTACGCCTACGGTTTTTAAGGAAGATTCTTCATCGCCGTAAATCGAAAAGTCGGCCGATAAAGTGATGCTTATTGTGTTTTTTTATTTTCGAGGTGTCATTTATCAACATTTTGTACCATCAAACACAACAGTTGACAGTGCGTATTATTGCAAAGTACTAAAGGAGTTGAGAATGCACATTTCCCGGAAACGGTCGGACTTGAAAGCTTCGTGGATACTCCATCAAGACAATGCGCGGCCTCACACATCGAGCTTAACACGTGAATTTATGAGTAAAAATGGAGTTGAAACAATCCCTCATCCCCCTAATAGCGCTGACTTGGCTCCATGTGATTTTTGGATGTTTCCCACGCTTAAAAAGGAGCTTCGCGGACGAAGATTCGTATCGAAGACCGAAATCCAGAATGCAATTCAAAACTTCTTCAACTCCATCCCAGAGGAAGAATTCAGGAAAACAATGTTGGATAAGTGGCAAGAGCGCATGAAAAAGTGCATCCGGTTTGATGGACGGTACTTTGAAAAGCAAAAGGAAATTATGGAAGATTCGAAGGAAAGTGGATACGAATATTAACTTTTTGAATCCTGGTAAGCGAAAAATCTTCCTAAAAACCGTAGGGGTAAACTTTCCTCACTAATTTCAAATTGTCATAACTCGGTCAATTTTTATTCGATTGAGCTGATCTTGGTTTTAATCGATAGGTATTGAGTTGATCTTTCACAAATCATGTCTGCATCTATCTTACTTTTGAAGTTACAGAACCAGTCCCGGTACTTTTGGGACACCCTACGTATGATATTTTTACTCTACACATATGCCCGAATACGCATCATAAGGGACCTATGTGCTTCCTAAGTTGCCAAGTATTAATTATTGTTAGATTATTGGTCTAAAACATTCAATACAACCAGTAAAAATTAGCTGTCCCCTACGAGATTCGAACCCCCGCTCCCACAAAAAGTGACACTCTCCCAGGGTCCGAACGGTGTTGCAGTCATCTGAGCTATCTCGCCGCTCGCATATGGGAGGAGAAAAAGAGAACAGTTAAGTGATCTCGGACGCTGAGCGGGGCTTCACAAAAGACGTCCTTGAGATTTCAACGGTTCGGCCACTGGCGTGGTAAGAGAAAACGGATCAAGCCCATTACTCTGTGAGACATTGTTTACCTATGCTGTCATGTGTCACAAGGTTCATGTCAGAATGCATTTGCGATCGCGGCAGTAAACTGGGGCAATATTTCTGTATTCATGGATTAAATCCATCGATCGAGTTCTGATTTTGGCTCATATATCCGTAACGGGTCCTCCAGAACAATTTTCCGCCTTGTACGATGGTTATTATTTCTTTATATCTATGTTTAAAATTTGAGGTGGGATAATGGCGGCTTCTCAAGAGCAACGAGGTAGGCGATCTTTTGCACCAACGAACAGAAAACTGATGGCGAAAAATAGCCAATGAAAACCTCCCAAAAAAAAGAATTTGCCTAAAAACGGAACTTCGTGGTTCTGCGCAGATTTACCAGTCAGACACGACATCTCAAAGTGGAAAAAAACTCGCTGAAAGCGAATTTTAGAAATCAACACAACTTGACGTAGAGACATGATTGGCTAAAAAATACAACGGTTTTTGATACATCGGAAAATCAACCAAAAATCGGAGACTGGGCGAAACGCTCAAGGTCGCAGAGGTATAGGGAATCCCATAGCGAAAGCAACGGAACGATTGTAATATCATGGGGAACTCCGTTCCCATGACAATATGGTTTTCTGGTGTTTCAATGCATATTATATCAAACAATATACATTCAAGACTTGACAAAAAATTAGACAAAGCTCGCAAAAGGTCCTGGTTTATTTATACGACGATTTAATACATTGACTGATACATTCCGAGTTACACGCGTCACCAAACTGACATTTTCACTGTTTAGCACGTTGAAAAAAGGTTTAGAGTTTTTCAAATCTCCTGAGGAATTTTTTCGTGGTTGGTGAGACCTCCTTCTACGCAAAAAAAAAACCAAACATCAAGAGAAAATATTATAATTGAAAGTTTTGAGCAACCAGTTACACGGCTTTCCCATATTTTATCCCATGAGCTGAAATCCACCCATATATTTCTGTCGCAGGCAAATAGTCAAATCAGGCATTTTGTCGAATGCCTGGGCAAATAGTCAAATATTCTTACTCAGATTGAAATTTTGAATTTTGACCCTAATTTAGACATAATAATATTCGTTGCTCCTGTTACAAATAATTCTCTGTTAAAGTATGCAGCTTACAATAGTATTTTAAACGATTTTAAGATCATGAATGCACATTTATCATGAAATTTTCAGCACGTCATAAAACATAGACATTTTAAAATTTTAACATTTAAACTTACTAAAAAAACTTAACTAAACTTACTTATGTTTTGTGGATTTGGAGAAGGCATTCGACCGCGTACGGAGAACAGATGTCTTGAGGATACTTAACGAGCGGAATGTTCCCAGGTGTCTCATCGAGATAGTTGCCGACTTGAACTCGAACACCAAGACACGGATAGTCACCAGGGAGGGAACCTCTGATGTAGTCATTGTAAACAGAGGAGTAAGACAAGGGGACTCCCTCAGCTCTTTTCTATTCAATTTGTTAATGAATAAGCTAATCGATGCAGTTAGATTTAAGAGAGGCTATCGGCTAGGCAATTCGAATATTAATATAATCTGTTATGCAGACGATGCTGTTTTAGTAGCAAGCTCCGAGGATGATCTGCAAAGAATGCTCCATTCCTTCAACCTGGCTGCAGAGGTATTCAACATGAAAGTGTCGGCTAAAAAAACAAAAAGTATGGTCATCAGCAAAAATCCAATACGATGTAAGCTAGTCGTGGACGGTACCGTAGTTGAACAAGTAATGCAGTTTAAGTACTTGGGCGCTTTAATAACGAGTGTGAAGGATTTAGGGACCGAGGTGCGGAGTCAGACAATCAAGGCAACTAGAGTAGCCGGATGCCTAAATGAAATGGTTTGGAGGAATAAGTACATGGCTAAAGAGAGCAAAGTTCGAGTTTATAAAACGGTTGTAAGACCTGTGCTGACTTACGCTGCGGAGACCCGAGCGGACACGAAGCGCACTAAACAACAGTTGCGGACCGTAGAAATGAAAGTCCTGAGGAAAATAGCAGGCTTTACGCTCCGAGATAGGCAGACCAACGAGTCAATTCGCGAAGAGTGCCAAATTCAAGATATTGCCAAATGGACCAAGATGCGCCGGAAAATGTGGTCGGAACATGTTGAGAGGATGGAGGGGGAAAGGCTTGCCAAGATTTGTATGGTAGGACGACCTCATAGCCAAAGGCAACCCGGACGACCGCCCAAGAGATGGGCACAGAGCTGCCTTTCATCCCCGGAGAATTAAGTGATCTCTCTCATCGGCATCATATTACTGTTTTAGAGGCTAGACAAACAGGGTCACGGCCCTAGTCAGAAGGCAGAAGAAGAAACTTACTAAAGGCATGTGAAAGGAAGGAACAAGGAGAGTCTGCAGATTTGAAGAGTTATTCTCCCCAAAGTTTTTTTATATTTTTACAAAAACCTCTCGAACTTCTAATATTTGTAGAATAAAAATCCATAAAATTTAGAATGTTATTGCATTTTCTGTTCCAAAATTCTCCTTATATTTCTTCAACTGTCAAAATTGTGATTACTATTCAATTTATAAAATGTAGCATATTTTGAGATAAATGTGTATTTAAATACTCGTAAAAACGTATTTATTATTGTATGAAGTAAATTTTTACAGAGAATTCTTGCCGACATGACCAGAGAATTATTTTGCGTACACTTAGCAAAATAATCAGAATTTCAGTATAGGTAAGAATATTTGACTATTTTTAACAAAATGTCTGATTTGACTATTTGCCTGCGAAAATGATCAGGTTTATTTATTATCATGTATACATTATCTCACAAAAATTTTCTTGTTACATTTTTGGACCCTATGCTCATCTTATGTCATGCATCCCAAAATTTTGGACGCTATACTAACTTGGATTTTGAAAAAAAAATTATTCCTGATTACAGTGAGCATTAAGCTCAATATCTTGGACGCGATGAGCAGCCGAGTATTCAATAGGTGAGCATGGAGTCCAATATCATGACCACGATGTTATATTCGTTCCGAGACCCCCGTACTGATTGTGAGAAAAATCAGATTTATCGTATCACAAGAGAACCGTTTCCTTGGCAGTTACTCGTTACTTTAAGGGGAAAACTAATTGAGTCAAGGAATCCACCTTCATAAAAAGAAAGTAAAATTTTACGTGATCTTGGTATCAATTTGTCAACTGGCTCTATGGTATTTTTCTGATTCCATTGAAATCGTATGATTTATCCATAGGCTTCCTTTCCAATAAATCCAATTTTCCTTGTCTTTGTTAACCGTTTCTTTTGTATATGTGTGTGACTCACGGACATATGTTCTCATGTGGCAATGGAAAATTTTGGCATATGCCTATTTTTGCGAGTACCTCGTGCTTTCAGATTCCAGTTCATCAATTGCAGCGTTCTGTTTCCACACCCAATATTAATTAATTGATGAGTGAAAGCTCCTGACGATAAAGTAAATTAAACATTTTCGCAGATGGATACGAGCAAGAAATTGCCGCTCAAATCCTGCTTTCCTTCATCAAACAGACGAGGAAAACCGAACCGTTTGACTGCTTGTCAAGGGGTGACCAAAACACTATTCTCAGTAGTGTGTGGCCTTTACAATTTCTCTTACGGGTCGCTTACTGGCCAATAAATATCATTCCAGATTTGAAAAATTCCGAAAGAAGGTACGTACACAGACACATAACGATCATATAATCATACTTTTACAATAATCAGTCTATATTAACGAGAGAAGGAACGTTTATCTTTAAAGGCAAATATTTCAGCAGGGCGGTTTAGTATCGAAATAATTTGAATTTTATTCACATCAAAAAATCTCTGAGGAAGACGGCTGGCCTTGAAACAAGGCTTAGGTTAGGAACCAGTGTTCTTTTTCTTTTTTCTTTTCTTTTTCTTTTTCTTTTTTTCTTTTCTTTTTCTTTTTCTTCTTTTCTTTTTCTTTTTTTCTTTTCTTTTTCTTTTTTTCTTTTCTTTTTCTTTTTTTCTTTTCTATTTCTTTTTTTCTTTTCTATTTCTTTTTTTCTTTTCTTTTTCTTTTTTTTCTTTTCTTTTTCTTTTTTTCTTTTCTTTTTTTCTTTTCTTTTCCTTTTCTTTTCTTTTTTTTCTTTCTCTTTTCTTCAATTCTTTTTTTTTCTTCTTCTTGAAAGTACTCACTTGCACATAGGTATTTTATTATCTACGGACGCGTTTCATTCCAGCCGCAGCAACATTATCCGTGCAACTATTTTAGTTCTTTTGTCAATCAGCTCACCTAGGCTCTCGCTCTTCCTCTCTACTCGATTCGAAATTGTAAACATAGGTTTTTTGATACCGATGAAAATATCTGTCTCCGTGTTTATCTCCATTGTAAAAAAGGCGTCTTTAGAAATAATATCGGCTCACTATTTTTTATTGTCACAAGTTTGCAACTGTAAGATTCATTTGTACGCAGGGCCGGATTTACCTACTTGCCCCCATGGGCCGCCTGAATTTTGCCGCCCCCTTCTCATTCGTTTTGAAACATCAATAAAAACCATCAAGTGAACGTGCCGGAGGGGGAGGGGTGCATGAGACACGTTTACCTACTCGTGTTGGATACATTTTTTGCGAAAGCCCTGTCGACACTACTAGCAAAATTTCACGAAACTTTGCGCGAAAGTTAAGTTCCGTAAACCTATCTCTAAGTGGACAAGGTCCTCCATTTATAAGAAATGAACCAAAAAATCATGAAAGAACAAACATAAATGTGGTTTAATAATTTTAACTTCCGCCGCTGCGCCGCGCTGATCGCACTATGATTGGCGCAATGCGTGAAGTATCCCTGCAGTCTTGTAGGCGCTATACGTTTCACGCCAACCGCTCCTGGCCGCACTATGTTTGGCGCAATGCGTGAAGTATTCATGCATTCTTGAAGGCGGTAATATGTGTTACATGCAGATCGCCGCGCCGAGGGCTTGTCTTTTTCATATCAAGTCCTCGTCATCATTCCTCTCTGCCTTGAGCTCCAGGCCAAATAATTGCGTGTTTAGTTCCTCTCTTCACTCTACTACTTAAAGATGCTATTTCTTGAATCACCGAAAAACGACGAAATTAAAAATTACTAAACTCTCAGGAAAGAGAGATTTCGTCCCCTTTTCTCATGGATAATTTTTTTTCTGAATCCGATTTTTTAATACCTACATTTAAAAAATTGCAAAATTTGCCGCCATGGGCCGCGGCCCATGTGGCCACCCCCTAATCCAGCCCTGTTTGTACGTAAATAAATTTGAGACTGAATTTACTTCAAACGAAGTGGTCATCCCCCCCTTTTCTCAACACAATTCCTGCACCTATCTACACTGAAAAAAACGTTTCCTAAATTCAAGGCGACGCCGTGTTGACCTAAGAAAATTGGATACTTGAAGAAAGTGGACAAGAAACGAAGTCTTGAATGAAGAAAACGGTATTGCCTTGGTCGAAGAAAACGCGATTTCTTGAACCAAAACTCCTGTTACATTGAAGCACGAAAACGTTTCCTTCAAATTAGGAAACACCGCCGCGCGAAGAGTTTCCTAAAAGTAAGTACGTGTTGTGTTGTTTTCAGGAAACGCTTCCTCGAAAAAAAGGAAACAGTACCTGCAAGCGTTTCCTTAAAATTAGGAAACGGCCGTTCTCGCCGCGTCGCTGCCTTGAGGAATCGGCTTCCCCCCCCCCCCCCCCCCCC